GTATTTGCAGAAGTTCTGACGGTCAAACTTTTTTTGGTGCTTTTAAATATTATTATAATAATTATCATAATGAGTGAAAGTATTATGAAAATTTCGGAACGGGACTGAACGTTAGGATTTTCACCCCATGGCCTATAGGTACTTCTTCAGAAAAAAGAAGGCGAACTTGTCATGCAAACCATAGGCCTAGTGTATAAGTGTTGCATTGATCTTTCTTGCATCATGATTGATGATATGGTATAGGAGTGTAGGACCATCTTCCAACTACGCCAAGGGTAGGCCTTGCCTAGACTGGGCCTACTAGATAAAGTCATGAGATGCATCCCTCCTTACAATTTCACCTTGATCGTTGTGGGTTACGTATGCAGTAATAATAGTGAAAACTTACTCTGAGAAAACCATAGCCTGCAATCGGTGAATCAAACCTATACTAGCTTTCTTGAGATCACTCTCACTCGCACCGTATCCGTATTCGAGTGCGAGTTGGTTGACTCTTGTGCCAACTTGTGCGATGATTTCATCTTATCATTAGCCAATCAGAGCGTTATATCATTAGGCCGAAGAGCCCTCCATAAACTAACGTTAGAATACCGCACTTTCGGTGGTAAAGAACAATTAAAACCTCATAAAAAAGGCAACTAATCCGTTTACCTATAATTGAATCCAAGGACACCAGTGTTAAACACTCAGTACGTATCCTTGATAATGTGTTAATCCAATAAATATAGTGAGATAACGTAACGTTAGTTTATCGAGGACGGATTGAGCTAATGATGTTTCCCTATGCTTGGCTCTTCACGAAAAAAAAATTCGCGGGCCTCTTCCTACTATTACTAGGCATAGGCCGTAGCCTGGCCTAGTTATGAAATCATCGCACGATTTTACCTGTCTGAATGCACCGAACAGAAAGTACGTCAGTGACTGTATTCCCCCTCGAATGCTGAAATGTTTATTTCTTTGACGAAAGTCTATCACTATAGCATTACAAACAAGTTCTTTCTAACACAATAGTTATTCATCGTATCTACTGTACTGCTGATGTTAGGTGAGTTGAACGCGTACTGCAGGAGCAAAAATCAGCATATGCACAGCTAAATGTAAATACGCACACGTATACTGATCATACCACTATAGCAACCGATGGCTGCTACAAGAGTTGGTTATAAAAAACTAAAATTAAAAGAGGACGATTGACTTATAAAGCAATTAGTAGAGCATGCATCGTACATTACACGGAAAATTATTATACTTAGGTTAGATTTAATGCATTCAAAAATTTCCTTCGGGCCTTGCAGGCTCTCAGGAATTTTTTTTAAGCTCTAACCTTCGTTCAATAATTTTCCTCTAGTGTACTATGCGGAGCTCTACTAATTGCTTATTAAATATAATATGTAGTTCTTATATATAGCGCTTCATGCACAAAGTCTCTAATGTTTTCGTTTATTCACGTTGAGAAAGTTCTGAGGATTCGTGTTCAATAAAATACTTATGAAAAAGATTCAAAGTCCTCCAATATGTCAACCGTGTCATTTTGACTTTATCTCTGTCATTTTGATTCCTATTAATATTATTATTATTATTATTATTATTATTATTATTATTATTATTATTATTATTATTATTTTAT